CACCGAGCCACTGCTGCTAACAGAATGCAGGCCACATGGTCTCATTAACATTTTAAGCTCAAGACAGGGGAAGGGGAGGGGACAGGTGAGCCACCAACCAGGTGAAGGGGCAGGGTCTCAAGGGACTAGGGACACCTATCACACGACGCCTTGCTGGTATGTTAGCCTGATTGACAGGGCACACTCAGCGAGGGGCGAGGGGGAAGGGAGAAGGTAAAACAGGATATTGCAACACACCACAACACCCTACTCACAAAAAACCCCAAACAAACAGATGTACAAGAGAATTAATCATATTTATGGCTGCATAAGCATCTGAACATGTCAGAATAAGTAGAGAGTATGTTTTCTTACTTTAGAAATACCCAACAGCAGTGAAATTACTGATGTTATCAAGTGTATTAGGCAAGGCACTTGGTGCTTTTGGTCAAATTAGTTTGTAATAAGAATTAGCTACTAACAAAAGAGTCTTCCTTTTTAAATGTTGCCCCTTTTTTAATATAAGAACAAATTTTGTTGATGGGAACTGTCATTGTTGAAAGGCCTTCGCTTGGAGGCCAGAAAATGTGTTTATGGCAGGAAACTTGGTGCAGAATAGGTTTTGCTGTGCAGCACAATCAAAGCAGCGCCAAGGTACCCGCAGGAGCTCCACTGAGTAATTTAATGTTGCTGAGATGCACTGCCCATAATGTATTGCTCAGTTAAAATGTTCTCCAAAGAGTTCACATCTCATAATCACAATTCATAAATCATATAAATTCTGATTTAACTGATCTTAATGTCAAAACTCCCATTGCCTTAATTGGGGCGGGATTTTCATGTTATTATTTTGTGTAAAAGCACATAAAGCATTATAGTTTAAAGTTGTCTATCTGAAAATAAAACCAGAACATAACTACTGGAATTTTAGTAACTGATGCAATGGCATCACAGGGAGAACGAAGCGTGTGGGACAGAATAAATTTCTTCTCTATAATTTGTCTTTGGCAAAGCATATAAAATGTGTTTTATATCAGAACATTTCTGGAAAGTTTTCAGGGTTTTTGTAGGTAGGGAAACACAGTTACTCCTGCTAAAGCTACTCAATTTTTTTCCTAATGCTGAGACAGATTTAATCCTGTAAAATGCAAACATTTATTTACTTCTCCTACTTCACAGCCATTTTCAGTTTCCACTTTTTTTTACTTAGTTTCTTTTTCCTCAAAATTGAAAGCAAAAATCCATATTTGTTCTCTCTGCCTTCCAGAGGAAGTCTTAAATTCTTTCTCAAGCTCCAATCCTCATTTCTTTAGTGACCTAAGCCCCCAAATCTGCCTATCTTCTGAACATTTTTTGTTCTTAGCTGCTACTTTATGAGATCTGGGATTTTGCTGCTGTCTTTGGTTTCTATTCCTGGCTCATTTTGGAAATCCAGGTTTCTATCTCAAGAGATACCTTGGGGGAATTAAGGTCTCCTGTGTTATAAAGCTGCACGTGCACAATACAGTCACATGTATGACCCGTGTGAGGAGGACTTGCTTAGTAAAACACAATCTCTGAAATACTTCAGTGTAGTGACATCCAGCCACCAGAAACTGGAGCTACTGCAGACTCCAGTGAATTTCTCTTCAAGGTTATGAAATTTCAAAACTTCTCGCTTATTTATCAAAGAATGACCCCAGCACGAGCTGCACTTGTGAGTCAAAATCATCTTCATATATTTATCATCATTTATCATATACTGCTTACGCAGGTGCAATTTCACATGATCTGGCAAACACAAAGCCTAACATTTTCAGAGTCTATTTTTAACATTTTTCCAGGGCCCCACTAAGTCTAGCTTCTTTCTAATTCCCCAAATTTTATGATTTTAAAACTTTTTACTATCACCTGGGCATCCTCAGTTTGGGTGGTTCTAAGGGGAAGGCCTTTGACACCTACACGGGATTACTCAGCAGGCTGAGCTGAAGATCATTAAATCAGCAGATGAAAAGACTTCGAGCTGAAAGAGGTGGTAAGAAAGCCTAAATTTTCTGCCAGTTTTTCTGGAACTGACAACCCCTTTAAGCTAGAGATGGGAGAACATATTATCAACACAACTAAATGGAAAATAAATCCATCGTGCTATTTAGAGGAGAAAAAGAAAGAAAACATTTGCTTTCGTAAAGCAATTCTTAACCATTACAATTTGCTACCTCAGGTTTTAGAAGGTGTCAGTTAAATCAACTGACGATATTGATTCTGCCCTGGTAACAGGAGTTAAACCTTCTCATAGTCACTTTTTTTTCTTTTATAATTCTTTTATAATGTGGGGTTTTTTTGCATCAGTGACATTTCCTAACTGGTTTGAGTCAGGAACCATCTGAATTTTGCAAATATCATTGTAATGTGTCTCTTGTAGACGTGCTGCTTCCCACCCACTCCTCCTCTCGCCATGCCCTAATAAGTGTCTGTGTCAGCTTAGAGAAAAGATGATGTGAAAATATTTGAAGAGACATCATCTGATGCAAAAGAATTGCTTTGCATTCCCAAAGAGCATGGATGTTTTCCATTTGTGAAATTTCCACACCACAGGTCACACAAAGCTTATATTGCCATAGCTTTTACATTTGGGGATGTATCTCCCAAATTCATCTCCAAGACAAGAGCTTGCAAATAATTTGATATATTATTTTATTTTGCTTTTGCTCTATTGTTCTTTTCCCAATACCAGTCTCTAAGGTCTAAACTGCAGCATTTGTTCGTAATGTACTTTTCTTTTCTTCCCCCCAATATAATTTAAGGAATGATGTTGCTGCCACTCATTTGACTGCTGTTATTGCTCATTGGACCCCAACTGGAGAAAGCTAAGGCTGGTAGAATTGCACTCACTGTATTCTGAGAGTTCCTTAGGTAAAAGTGCCATCAAAAGTATTTCCTAGGAATCATTAAGAAGACAGTTTTGGTGCTTTTTTTGTTTATTTGCTTGTTCAGGTTTTTTGTTTGATTGGTTTTTTTTTAAGAGCTCAGACCCTTAACAGAACCAGGAGGAATGAAAAGCATTTGGTACTAGAAATTTGAGTTGCATAAGGAGTTCCCTTTTCATGTGAGCTCCTGTTCACTGTCTCATTGTGGTTCAATTGCATCTGCCTGCAGTCAGGGGATGCCCCTTTGTGCAGCCTGTGAGCCACACCTGAGTGCCACTGGAGCACACTGCTCTATCTGCATGCTCAGGCAATTCACATGTTCCATTAACAAACACAGAATACTTTAACTGTCCTGCAAACCAGAATCCCAAATGCCATAAAAAGCTCTGAAATTGCATCCATCACTTCTCATTTTTCAACATCGACAAGACTTTTGGCCTTCATCTGTTACATAAACTCACCAATCTCTCCTCTGGCTGTACAGTCATTACAAGATAGAGATTTCAGATCCCTGTTTTCCATTTCACCTTTCCCTGACACATCCCCAGTTTAATCTTCCTATTGCTTAGTTATTGCAAAAATGGGGAAAAACCAACTACTGTGAAGATAAGTAGGTTTTCTTCTGAAAGAAGAGCTATTGCAACATAGGAATGAACTCAAAGCTCTCAGATTAGTGCTAGACTATAAATTATTTCAGCTTTAGAGGGATCAGTCTCCCAAGTCCACAGTTTCCTAATGATTAAACAAAGAAACAACAAAGGAATAGAATGAACTTCAATTTGCCATAAATATGTTTGTATGCTTTCCAAAATAGCCAGTGAAAAAATAATTTGCTAATTGCCCGTGTTTACCTGTTGCCCTCTGTTGTCTTGGTGGTTTTGCTGCTTTCTTCACAAAGGGAGAAACCTGAATCTCATTGATGTCTGGGGGTTTTACAGAAGACAAGACAGAAAGAGTTTAGGGTTATATCTGAAGATTTTGTTTGGTTTCATAATTATTTTATTTATTTATTTGTAAATTTGGTTTCACTTTGAGTGTCAGCTCTCCATCTTTGAGGTGATTTCTGTTAACTCACCAGGTATTTTCCTCAGCATCTGGTACACACAGCTGTATAATAGCTATAGAAATTACCTTGCATCTGAGTTTGCTGCAAATGGGGCAGATATTCCTTGGTGCAGTGCTCCCTCTTGCCTGGGGGAGTACATTCCTCAAACTGAAATTCATTTAGCTGCCACCATTGTATTCCTTATGTAGGAGTTCCAGTGACATAACATTCAGATTGTGCCTGCAGGAAGAAAGCTCAATTTATAACCACAGCAAAGCAAAGCCTCTTACATTTTTCCCCTTCCTTTTCATTTTGTGTCTTCATCCTTTGCAGTCAATAGGAGATGGATGGTGAGAGGGCTGTAAATGGAGAGGGTTCAGCAATAAGACAATCTGATGGTGTAGTGTAGTCCCTCCTTAAAGTGTGTTTTTGTGTCATCATCTTGTGTGCTTCAACACCAGATATCCAAATGTTCAACAGCTGGATTTGAAGGACAGGTTTTTCCAGAAAAACTTCAGATCCCCTGGTTAAATTGTGAAGAAGTGCAAACTTTTATCAGTAATTAAAATGCAGATGTTTGTTTTCTCTGCAATGTACAAAACACAGAAGTAATTGTAGGTATTGTTCCAAAAATACAAAGTGAGAAGGTGACCAAGAGCTGTGAGTTCTCACCCACCCTTCTGCTTTGTGTCTTGTCAGGTTGGGTTTCTCAGGTTGCCCTTTCTCTTGTACCAGGGCTTTGCAACTGAAAGTAATTCCTGCAAAACTCTGAACCTAGTTAGCCTGACAGCTGAGAACACATTTAAAATATTTGGCAAATTGCCTTTTTATTTCAGTGTCTTAATTGGAGGGATGTGTGCAAGTGTTGAGTGCAGTACAATGTGCATGTCATTTTTCTTTTATATTTGAATGCTTGTTGCAGTGCCTTTTGAGTAATTTGTTAGTGGCTTTTGAGTAATACCATTAATATTGGAAGTATATTAAATAATTTCTCTTCATAGATAAAATAAGCTGAATGGATATGAAACACAACCACATTAATTAGGCATGGTTTCTTCTTTTCTAGTGAATAAACACAAACCTTGGATTGAGACATCGTACCATGGAATCATAACTGAAAACAACGACACTGTGATTTTGGACCCTCCCCTAGTTGCTTTGGATAAAGATGCACCTGTTCCATTTGCAGGTAGGAATGTTCATGAACAGCACCATTTGAGCCTGTGGACTGCATTTTGAATTTGAAAATTTTGAATTGCAATGATTTTGAATTATTGGCATTTGTAAGGAAGGAATTTCCAGTGTAATTTGAAGGTTGTGTCTGAGTACTTAGGGCCTGACTGTTGGCCATAGATCCTGAAATGAGGTGTTTCCTACACTGAACTTGTTGTGAAGCAGAACAGAGTAAAGAGAATAATACAGCAGGCACCCACTATCAATATATGTTAATGAAAACACAATAATTACACAATTACACTTGAATTTGCTTTTATAGAAATTAATCATTGCAATTGCCTGAAGGGATAATACATAATTAATTTTGTTCAGCAGTAAAAGCCCCTGCTTTCTCTCTTCCTGTTCTGCACCCTGGCTGTGGACAAAATGTGTGACAAATACTTAAAGTTGCTCAAATCATATTACTTACTGTGTAAGTACTTTTAGCTGTTGAGACTTTGACAAAAAATTTAATGGAGGTTTTGAACATTTTTGCTCATTTTTGCTGTATGATAGATGTGTGTCATATACAAGTTTGCATTTCTATTAAGTTTATTTTACCTGACACTTTTTCTGTCCTGAGTCCCTTAAACAGAATATGAGACTTCTTCGTGTTGAGCAAGTTGTCTCTTAAATTCTCTCTTTTATTAAAAATAATTTTTGAAGAAAAGAGAGAATAGTAAAGCTTGATAGCTGTAAGATGGTGCAGTTGTTAAAAAGATGGTATTGCTTAAGAATCTTCACCTTTTCTAAGGAAAGGAACTGGTAAAGGTGAGTGTCCTTGTTCTCAAGGAGTTGTCATATTCAGGAAGCAGAAGTCCAAGTGCTTTTCCCAAACAGCATTTTACAGCATCCTGAAAGAATTCTTCTCAGTCACTTTTCCCAAATCTCACACTAGCATCAGCTCCTACCCTGCCAAGCCAGGGCTCCCAAATGTTTTTTATATATTGACCCCCAGTTTAATATCAAGATTGTTTGTTGCTCGTGGTGCCCAGTGATTCTTGGCTGCATGAAGATCAGTTCCCAGTGAAAAGATGCCCTTGTCATTTTTTCCCTCTATTACTGTGTGTGTTCCATCTTAGGTTTGGTTCTTTCACTTGCATTCCCTTAGGATCCTTCCAGGGATGTTCATCACGTGCTGTTGTCACTGACCCTGCAAACTCTGCTGACTGGGAATTTGTTTGCCTAATTATTTTCTTCAGCTTTTACATTGCAAGAATCAACACATTTTTCATTAAATAGTAGTTTACTTTTTGTGTGGAAAATCATCCTTTGAAATACTGAACTTACACAGACAGACTGACTTTTGTGATAAAGGTTATATTAGACAGTAGTTTTAATCTAGCTTCTCCATTTATTAATTCAATTTATATTGAATATAAAAGTATCTACTTCTTACAAGGGTAAATACTTTCTGTGTATTCCCTGATACTAATTGTTTATTTCCTGATAATATTTGGCCTCATGATCTGCAGTCCAGGCATAATATTATAGGACTGATGGAACCCTTCATTCCCTTGAAGGGCCTGCATTCCCTATGTTTTTGGAAAAAAACCTCTATGCACTTTTAAAAAAAACTCCTGTCTTTTTAAAGTGTTGGAGGAACTTACTATTTCTGTTGTAGTTTTTGATTTAATTTAATGTATTTTATTTGGTTTCCTTATATCATTAATTTATTAAAGGTTTTTATGGAAAATTAAATTTGCATAATGTATTTAGTAGGAGAAAACTGAAACAGATACGAGTACAACATTAACAATATTCAGTAGCTGTACATGTAATAGTGTGCTAATGTGGAAGGTCTTTTATGGCCATATATTATTTGATTGTGGAAATTGCAGTTATATAATGTATCAGTCTTCAGTGTAAGAGAGAATCAGAGATCCAACAGATCCTTTGTCATCATCCTGGTAATGTTTTCAGTATTTTGTGAACTGTTGGAGAAGGAAAAATTTCTAGTGCTTGGAAAGTTCTCCATGTTTGTTTGGTTGGTTGTTTTTTTTTAATGGGCCCAGATTCAAGAATAAATCCGGGTCGTTTCTGATCTGCGCTGAAATGTCTGCTAAGATCTCCTTGAGCAAACTGTACTAAGACTAAATTTATGTGAATTCTTCCTCTCCAACACCCCCTGCAATAGTTCACAGGCAGATGGTTGGCTCTTCCATCAGGATTTGTGTTACCTTATAAAAACAAACTTTTTTTTCAGTAGTACCAGTGTGCATTTGACTTTAAAAACACACACAAAACCTATTGACAAAAGATCCCCTCCAGCAAACCAAAACAAAACCCCAAATCTCAAACCAAACAATAAAGACAAAA